TGGGTCCAGACGCAGACATCTTCGAGCAGTAGCAGGGCGCAGTGGTGCAGGAGCAGCCACCGGCGTGTGGAAGCCGTCGCACCCACCGCAAAGCAGTGCCCCATGCCAGGAGATCCCCGTCTTCAGGGACAGCTGGGGGAGGGCAGAGTGTATGCTGGGGCAACTGAGCGGGAGGAGAAGCAGCAAACACGGAAAATGTCCGTGTGCTGCTGAAACCTGCCTTGAGCTGAATCACAAGATACTTGTATAAAAACACGGTTAGTTATTACAAAGCAATGAAGCGAGGAAACATAGACTTTCACAGCGTACCTCCTGCATTAATTACTTGCTAAAAATGTAGATCGCAACAGCTCTGAAGCTGCAGACGGGTCAGTAGCAAAACCATCTCTCCTGGTGGTTGTGCTGAGAAGCCCGCTTCTCTGTGAGGCCATTCCCAAAGGCTGTCCAGGTTGAGGGAGCTCATGGGGCGATTTGAACAGCAAGTTTAAATGAGGATGCCATCACCAAGAGCACTCACTGTTCATCTCTGCTCAGGTCTGAGAAATATCTAAAAATGTGGAGAGAAGTTAAAGCTGGAAGTCCTCTTGAATTTAAAAAACCCTCAGTCAAACAGGTGTCTGCTGTAAGTGCACTGCAGAGCATACCCATACGGAACTGAGCATAAAAATAATCTCTGCCTTCAGTATCTGTATAAGCTTTGGCCAAGCGTGATAAAAGCAAGCTCAAGGACGAGAGAAACAAGAGGCTCCACCATTATGGAGACTGAAATGGTTTGCAGACTTCACATCAGATGGTGGTGTGCCTGGGTCTGCCAAGAAGTCTGGATTGGCGGGGGAGGAGGGGGAGGTGTGGAAATCTAACAGAGTTTAGATTTCTGATAACTAACAGACCTGAAACCTTGGGTTGGACTTTTAAGTGTATTGGCCACCCTCAGGCAAAATCTTGGTTGTCAAAATAAGGTGCAGCTAACCTTTCTCTTTAGGGTTTGCAAATTAAGGTTTCACATTACTGTAGAAAAAATATTGGTTTGAATATGATCACAAGCAAGATGCTAGGAGGAGTTGTTTCTTATGGTTCCTGAGTAACTCAAGCCAAAGAACAACCAGTGGCAAACAGAACTGGCATGTTTCCCCACTGACGGCAAGAAGAGCTGTCACCTCACTGGCAGCAAAAGGTGTGCCTGCCCTGAACACTCTGTTATCCCAGGACAACATACAGCTTGCCTCAAACTCTTTTCCAACCACTTCCAAGCAATACAAGCCTCTGCAGGAACACAAAACAGGTATCCCTGTTCCCACAGGCTGTGACTGACCCCTGCAGTTGGTAGGATAATGCTACCTGAGGAAAAGCCTAGACCAACTTTTACTCCGCCGCTTCTTGTTTTACACAGAAGAGGGGCAAGCTACCTGCTACAGCTTCATCTTCCTCTTCTGTTCATGCTTGCCTTTGTTTATCTCTCAGCTTTGTTAGGGTACTTCACTTCTAAAGCACTCTGAGAAGAAAATTGTGCTAAACAAAACTAATGTGCAGAAGAGGACATTAAAAATATTTCAGGGTTGGGTATAAAGTGAAGACTGAAATCAGGAAATCTTGTTTAATGTTTCACTACTGGTCACTAGCAAAATAAAAGAAAAATGAGTTTGGAAAAGATTACAGTAAATGAATGATATTTTGCTGCAGTGTGTTAAGTAAGAAATCTAAACCTGTGAAAGAGAGGAATTAGTGGTTACTGAGAAAACACTAATTGTTATATGTCTCAAGATAGCAGAGAGAATTAAGGCATTTTGGGGGCCATGCAGTCATGTACGCTGTGCATCTGAAAAGTTGCCTGGCTTTTTAAATTAATGGGCAAATAAAAATATCTGCAAATTTGTCAACGCTTATGCAAAGAGTTTTTGAATGTCAATTATTTACTTATTCAGGTCTGAAGTAGCTTCTTTCCTTCTGATCTTTTTTGTCTTGTTTTTGTCTGCCAAAGGAGGAGAGCACTTCTATAGAAACTATGGAGAAATTGGCAATTTCAAGACATAATTAGGAGTTTTATGTGCTTCATTTTAAGGACATTTCACACTACGACCAAATAATAATAAGAACAAAATGCTGCCAACTGGAACAATCAGCTGGGGTTCTCAATGTGAAAAAAAAATTAGGGACTGTTAATGCATGGAGCTCATCTCTGAATAAGGGAGTGAAATTAAGTTATTTTAGTGAAGTGAGGGAAAAATTTTCCAGCAGCATTCTCTGAATCGATTTGTGGTCTGCCCTAGGAATATATCAGGTATTTGCTTTACCACAGCCAAATTAAAGTTCATTTTGCAACTATGTATTGCAACCAGAAGCTATGTGTTTAGTTTCAAGTGTGGTCTTAATCCTGCAGGCATACACATACATACTGGAAAATGTAAGTAAACTCATCGAATTTACTAGCACTCCTTCATGCTGAAAATTGGGATGGACTTGTTTGCAGATTCATATGCCCTTTCATTTACCTGCCTGCTATGCAAGATCACCTTGAGGGGTGAGATTATCAGGTGATAAAACACAGCAACCCCAACTTCCAGATGTGTTTTGTAACGTTGCCTTAAAAGGATTTCTTTAGGCTGCTTTCCAAATTAATTTGCTTGGATTTATTTGGTTTGAAACCTACATAGCCAGGTCATAACGGTGCCCACAGGAAAAAGGAGTTGTTGTTTTTTTCTGTGGTGTTGATAGTCTGGTGTTTGATTCCTTCTACATGTCTGGTATCGGTCAAACTGGCCACGCTGACTCATTTCTCTGGGAGTTTGGCCCCAAGAGAAGATTCATGCCAAAGTACCAGATTAAAATGGCGTCATTAGAGCCTGCTATATACTTTGACATGATTTATTGCCAGGGAAGTATTGTTTCTGCTGCCTCCTCCTCTGGCCTTTCTTGTTCACGGTGGTGCCTACTTTTAGTCCTCTTCCCAAGCAGATTGCTGGCTTTGGTGTCATGCTCTGAGTCTTTATACAAGGGAAGTTTTCTTGTGATGAAATCATAAGCAGTGATGAGCAGGGCTAAGGCTTGTCATGATGGAATTTGTTACCTGGTGAGGGAGATGTAACTTCAGCCTTGGAAGTCTTTCACCCAGAACTCTGCTTGCTGATGTATCCCACAGGTACGTGTGCACAAAGGAGAACGTGGGGGTTACCTGCAGACACCAGAGCCAGGGTCCAAACCGGTGACACTGCTCACTGTGGGGAGTCTGGTCCCATTCCACAGGCCAGGGATGGGACCTTAGCTGTCTTCTTGCGGTGCTCAGGAGAAGTTTAAATTCACTCTGTAACTGCTGCTCAGGGGTAGCTCTGGCCATCTCCCACTTAGTGGTGAAGGTGCACAGTACAAGCATTCATGCAGTAAAGTGGCATCCTTGTTACACCTGACACTCCTTACAAGTGAGCTTCCTGCTCTGTGCTTTCCAAATACCTCCTAAGTTTTTTCCTAAGGCTTGCTTCCAGAAAAACCACCCTCTCCCCCTGCCATTCATTGTTTTGTGTGATGTTCACAAAATGTGGCATTTCTGTCCAAATAGTTTGCCAAAGGCCTGTGACAAACAATATTAAGTTGTCAGTCGTGAGACATTAAAGAAGTGAACTGTCTTCACTTCATACCCAGTCCTAAGATATTTTTAGATGTCAGAGCTTTTGACGCTGTGGTTGTGACTGGCTCCAGTTTTGGGATACCCAAAATTGGAATACATGGGCCTGATTTTCAGAAAGTGCTGTGCTCCCTTGCTGCAAATGTTAATCTTTACACACATTTCAAAAATATGCACAATTTCATCAGGATCAATCAATGCTCTGGAATTTCTGACTGTGATGCATTTCTGCCATCTTTCCTGTTTTCACGCAGTCATACTTTGTGAATTCATTTTCAGATAACATCCTGCCTGGCAGAAACATAGAAAAAAAAGAGAGAGAAATATCTTTAACAATTTGTGAGTGACATACTTGGCTTTGTCAGTAGTTACTTCTGATTTGGTCTTGTTGGATAACTTTTAAAAGGATGAAATTTACATTTTAAAATGAAAAAAAAATAAGGTAGATGTAATAATTTCCTGCTTATAACTGATCTATTTTTAGTGCTGTTTATCAGGAAAATTGCTGTTGCGTTTAATAGAACTCTTATCTGTTTAGTCCCAGTTGAAATCCACCTTGTTAAATCAATGGAACAATCCTGCTTCCACTGAATGCAAGATCACTGTAGCTTATGTTACCAACAATTATTTTTATTTTCAGAATAATTATTTCTCTCTGAAAATGGCATGTAGTGTCAGTGTGCTTAATTAAATGTCCAAGAACAGAGATTAAGTTATCGGAGACAAGAGAGGAGATGTGACTTAAATGGTGACATGTGTAGTTGGGTTTTGTTGGTGAATGCCAGTGAAAGCTCAGCTTGGTGTGGGTCCTGCAGAAGCAGAAGACCGACAACGTTGTAAAAAGAAAAGCCACCCTTGTAAAAGGCTTGTTTAATTTTGCATCTCCTTGCACCTTCCAGCAGATAGCTTCTTGGTGCCAGCTCAGCATCAGAGCAGCATTAGCTAGCAGGCATGCTCAGAAACTCAGCACTGGGGTTCAATTACTGTGCAAGCACAGAATAATCCAGGAAGGCCAGATGTGAACCCTGCAGAAGCTAGAAAGGTATCCCAGTGTTATGGATTTTCCTTCCGCAGGACGTCTTTTGCAACACTAAGGGTCTTCACCACCACCAAGGCATTAGTATGCAGTGTACAGCTACCATGACGTGAAGTTTCTGGACAAATCTGCTCACGCATTTAGCCATTGGATTCTGCCAGCGAGACTACAGATTTACAGGAGGCAATGATTTGTCTAATAGGAACAAAAAAAGAAAGCAAAGAGAGGGCAATAATGCTTGAGATTTTTCTCTCGTAGTAAAATGGAGAAGCAATTAATCTGAGTGGCACTGTTTTCTGAAAAAGCCACACGTGCTTTCCTAATAGCCTTCTCTCCTGTTTTTGGTAGGTCCAGCTGCCCAGCGCCAGGTCCAGAATGGGCCATCTCCAGATGAGATGGAAGCACAAAGAAGGTAAGCGGAGTTAATTAGTTATGTTAGAGTTCTAGTTTGTAACTTGGATGAATGTGCAGTCCCTGCTTACCAATAAGCACTGTTCTTTTCATTTGTACCTGATTTAAGCTGATTCTGAGTTCTCTGTAATTATTGCTAATGATTCTATAATGACTTTTTGAAGGGTGAAGTGAACTGAAGCCCTAGGTAAGCTTTTTACTCAAAGGCAAGTGTGAGGCATGCTGATGTTCAGATTTAAAGACAAAACATGTTTAAAAGTAATTTCTTCAGTGTGTGTTTCTGAAGCATGTTAAGAAAGCCTAACCTTCTCCTGCTCCGGATCACCTGCTGGCAGCTCACAGTCATATTGCCCGGGGAGCATCTGACAGACCATATACACTCTCAGTGATAGCTTAGGTTCATTTTGTGTATGGCTACTTCCTATATCGTATGCCACTCATTTTATGAATGTTTTGTTTTAAACCAGGATAATAAATGAAAGTGTGAAGTCCTACCCTTCACCTATGCGCTTATGTCAGGCTTAGTGCCAACCTTACGCATGGCCTGTTCTCCAGCTGCTAGGAGTGGTCTTCTTGATGTCAAAGGGAAGGTGCGCAGGAGTGTCTGTCCTCATACGCCTGTCTCCATTATCAAATTACGAGGCCCATCTCATTTCGGCTTTGCTGATCCAGCCTGGATTCCTGTAGCAGCAGTGGAAATCACTGTAGCAGCCGTATCTTCCGCTTCCTTCGCTACATGTAAGACATACCTGTCCCTTTCTGGACAAGGTCTTCTAGTCTGACCGGTAGTCAGAGATGTGATCTGTCTGTCCGGCATCGGTGGTGTTCACACCAGCAGCACTCCTCGTCCAGGCTTGTGCTTCCCTGTTGAAGTATAGGCTTGAGCACACTAAAAAAGCGCTTTTGTTCCCCATACTCCTGCTCACCACAAGTGTATTTCTGCTACTGAATGAGAAACACCAGAGCACATTCTGCCATAACACAAATAAGCTGGTGAGCCTCACTTCTTCAGGAGTGTGCTGGAGTACAGAAATCGGCAGGATCTGTTGCTGCTCCAAGCTTGGTGCCTGGCTTTGCTTAAATGAGGTGTCTGCCTTTGCTTCCGGAACGCGAGGAGGATCAGCAAGTGCAGTCAGCCCTCCAGAAGACCCAGCCCAGTGTTTGGTTCAGCTAATGAATACCTTTTATCCTAAGTAAGGATTTTAGCGGAACCAGATCTGCAGGGGCAGTTCAGCACCAAAGATGTCGGATGTTGGTCTGACGTGACAGCCGCTCGGTGGGCTCTGCCTTCGTCTGTGGGTGCAGCCTGTAAGCAGGCAAGGTCTCCCTGTGCAGGGTCCAGGGACTGCCCTGGCCCGGTGCGTTGTGTAGCTTGATACCACACGCTCCTGGAGCTGGAGCAGCAGAGAGAAAGTTTTGCAGTGTACTGTTTGCATTGATGCTTCAGGACTACTGTTCTGACTGGTCCCTATAAAAAACCACATATAGGTCATTTAAGATAAGGCCCACAGAGGTGGAGAGCAGCTGTTTCCCTGCGCTTTTTATGAATAATGCTGAATGGCCTGAGATTTAGGAGGGATCTACATATGACCGTTAAATGGGTCAGCAGGTAATGATATTCCACTTGAGGTCTGTAAGATTTACTTAGGGATAGCAGAGCTATCATAAAGGTCGGAGGAGACCTCCTGCTCACCTGGAGGCGTGGGGGATGCCACCTGACCCCGGTACCCTGCTGAAAGGCTTGATCCAGCTCTTCATTTAACCAGTGAAAATCACTGATTCTTCAGACCTTATGTAACTCAGCTCAAATTTAAGTGTCTAGTCTGTACATTTAAAGTGTGAGCAGCTTAACTGCGTTAGGAAAAAACAAATATTTTATTTATTGTTTTTCATTTAGAGACAGTAAAAGCCTTTTGGGTAGGTATTTTTCGACTGCTACAGGGCACATGGTTCTGGGAAAGCTTTTGCTCCACTGGACTGGAATAAGCTATGCCAGTAGATACACTTAGATATTACTGCATCTGCACTAGAGGATTTTCAGCTTTAATTATGCTGAGGCATTCTTTAAGCATAGAGCAGACCTAATTTTAGGCCTAGCTTTTTTTGAACATCTTGTAAACAGTCAAGGAAATGAAGTTATGGTAACTACCCTGAGAATTTGTTGGTTTAAGAGTTTTTTTTCAGAGACCTTTACACAAATGTTGAAAGAATGTATTTTTAAGTCAGAGAATATAATTTGTCCCCTCTTAGACTTTACTCATTGCATACTCCTTAAGCAGCCTCCTGCCAGTCTCAGTCTTTATTTAGTTCCACTGGGATATATTTGACTTCCTAAGAGTGTAAGAAGTTCTCCTTTTAGCACATGTGGGAGGGTGTATTTTAGCACATATAACTGCTTCTGCCCAAGGACAGACAGGGCTAGCATGAACCCCAACGACTTCAAACAGCTGTGACTGACCCTTGTTCTGGGGAGCAGCCCGCACCTGTATCTGCTCTGCAGCAGCTCTGAGGACTTGGAGATGTCTTTTATCCATATTTCTTTCCTGGTCAGTCATGCTGGAGTTCTCCAAGTCTCTCCTTCAGATAAACCTAGAATTTCTCCCAGGTTTAACAAGGAAACTATATGTGTCAAGATGTTCATCATCAAATTTAGTTAATAAATGAGAAGCTACTGTAGAGGATGTTCTGTTTCAGAAATTTGTAGTACATGAATTTACAACGGAAATTTTAGCAGTGCAATTGATGCTGTTGCATACGTGTTCAGCCTGTAACCATCAAACAATAGTCAGGGTATATATTGAAGAAAAAGTTTTTATTTATTCCATTTAAATTGTCATAGCTTAAATGAAACCAATTGAATCAGCCAGCTAAGACTGTTCCTCCAAACTCTTTCCTCTTTGCACATATAATAACTTTCTCAGATGCCTGCAATGGTTTTGCAGAAACTGCTAGTGTTCAATGGATTGCATTCCTTTCCCGTCTATTGAATTAGAATTGAAATATGGGAAATTGTTTTGCAAATTAAGATATTCTTTTTTCCTTACATAATGTAACTTTATTTTTCTAGACTTTTTTTGTAAAAAAAGGTTTTATTTGTATATAAGAAGACAGAATTATTTAAAATTGCAGACTTAGGAAACTACAAGTGAAATGTAACAGAGAGATCTCTAAAATATTACATAAGGAGTCAAAATAGAACAGTTGCCTAGAGTTAAGTTTGCCTTACTGTACAGACCATACAGTAAAGATGTTACAGAAGAAAGAAATCTCTATGCAGTGAAGACTGGCCCAAACATATGTGGAGTAAATTCAAGGCAAATTTGGCCTGGAAATGATGGAAGAAAATTACAATAAACTTTATTAGCAAGTGCTCCGGTAAGGTCATTTGAGAGTTGTGTTTTAGCGTCGTTGAAATCTTTGGTCCCTACCCATGCACGTGGCAAATATTCTAGTTTTTAGCTCTCAATCTTTTTCACAAGAGAAATGCCGGGGAGGGTTTGTGACAGGGTCAGAGCGACGGCGCGTTCTGCAGAAGTGCTACAGCGTGCGAGAGAAGACCTCTGCTGATAGTCCCTGGGAACTGCACGTCCCTGGGAGGCAGAGCTGGGAAAAGGCATCTCCCAGTGAGACACCAGGTCCGGGTAGCTCGGGAGCTGGTGGCTCCTAGTGAGAAGGATGCCAAAAACGCAGCACTGCGGTGTGATCAGCACTGGTGGAGGGCACATGATGGTCGCGGTCCCTGTGGCCACGCTGGCTGGTGCCGGGGCGGGAGGTGGCAGGGCTGTCGGCCAGGCTGTCCGGTGCCAGCAAAGGGCTTGGTGGTGCAGCTGGGCAAAACAGGTTTTGTACAGCCAGCACCAAAATGCATATCAAAATTCCTTATATTTTCATTCTGACTACAAGCCTTTTGGGCTCCTGATCTGTAAGACTCAAGGCTGCGGCATTTTGTGCGAGACGCCCCTTCCTCTTCCCTAGCAACACTCCTGCACGTCAGGTTAACAACACGCATGGCTGCTGTGCTCTCCTGGGCCTTGGGCACTGGCTGCTCCTCCTGCAGAGCCCATTACTAAGAGTCATCTTAAATAGATCAGCCAGCCTCTGCAGTGCCCAGCGGGTGTAGGGCAATGCCCTGGTCACCCTTCCCCAGCACATGCAATGGCACCGCTGCGGCCAGGGCAAGAGAAATCAAACCCACCTCCATCTCACGGGATCAGCCCGAGACATACAGCTTGAGTGCTTCTCAGCGTATAAAGCTTTTACTCAAAATTCTAAAGAATGCATAATGACCGAGGGTTCTTTCATTGCTGTTTCAGACAAGTGATGGAGCAACAGCAACAGCGCCAGGAATCTCTGGAAAGAAGAACCTCTACCACAGGCACGTATCAAACCAAGCAGATAGAGTCTCTCCCTGCTTGTCTCCTCTAGCTGTAGTTGGGTTTCGTGTGGTGCTATACAACAGCTAGACTGCTAAAAGAGGTTATAGTTAGTTATTATTAGATTTTTAAGCATTTTCAGCTAGGGACTTGGTTGCATTTGGGCATGATTGTGTTGCTTTGCAGAGGCTCAGGTCCAGGGCGTACAGGTGGAGCTAAGCAGGTTTTTGGGCTTGGCAGAACTTGTATAGCTGAGGGGGATTTTAGGTGTACCAAGGGGACCTGGCCATGTTTCTTCCATGCTCACGAGGAAAGCAGGCAGCACAGCCACTACAGGAGTGACCCCGCTTTTCCAGGGGTTGTCAGCACAAAGCGGCGGGGTGCTGGGTGTGCCAGGTCAGGTGCTCCCCATCACTCTGCAGCAAAAGCAAACTACAGCGCAGAGTAAGCTCTAGATGCTCATCAGTGGGGATTTTGTGGTCATGAAGTGAGGAGTCTTCTGTGAGCTTAATGGAAAAAAAAAAATATATTTAATGAGCTTATGAAAATCTTCTGTAGCATACTAAGTTGCACTAAGCTGAGAGAAGAGATGACAGGAACAGCTTATGACTACAAAGTACAGCTTTGCCTCTCTGAAACAAGGCAGAGCAAGCAAGCCAAGATGGCCATCTTGTGTTTGGGCTTTTGTTTTGGGCAAGTTTTTTCGGTTAATCTGGTCACATAAGGGAAATGTTTCTCCTCAGCTGTTTTTTGCTAAAAAGCAAAAACTTTGTAGTTTTTGACTTGAAACCAGCTCAGACATACATACCTACCTTAGTCAGCGACGGATGTTGCTGGACTCTGTTTCGGCAGAGGCTACTCTGTGCTATTCTGCATAGGGAACACAGCCAAAACCCTGCCTCGGCATCTGCAAGGAGCGGGACGTGGCTCCTGGGGACTGCTGGCTGTCCCCTCCCTGGCTATGAGGAGTCATGCACGTCCCTGGCAGCTGGCCCTGGTGCAAGGGGGATGCTTGTGATCCTGACTTGGATTCACACGGGCTTGGAGGAGCCTCGCTGGCACCAGAGCACACAGCCCATCCTGTGCTGCCAGGGTCCTGCTCCACACACCCTTCCAATTCTGCCAAGCGCTAGGAACCCCCAAGCTGGTGACTGCACCATCTTCGCTTTGTTTGAGTCCTGTTTGCGTTTACTTTGTGGTTCCTTTTTCTCCGTTCTGCTTTGCCTTGGTTGCGTTCCTTGCTGTGTACCCATCTCACTCTTTTCATTTGTCTTTTGTGTTCTTGTAGTTCCCACCCCTCAGACAAGCGTGTGCTCTCCCCACTCCCAGCCCCAGTCTCCTCCTCCCCACCGCAGTAGCTGTGGTGCTTCTGGTGCTGTGCCCCCGCCACCCCCCCACCCCACCGCCTCTGAGCTGCCAGCAGCCCCATGTTCCCCCCCTCCAGCCTGCCCAAACCGCAGGACCGTAATGCCAGGCATCCAGCGAACCTCGCTGTCTCCACCATCTCCTCACCCTTCACACCTCCCCTTCGCCTCTCACCAGCCTCTCAGGCGCTCTTCTCTCTCCTGCTCTCCTCGGTCTTCTGCCTCCCCAGCCACAAATGCACCACCTCTGCACAGGGGTGACGTCCTGCAGCCACGTGGTCCCACCATCCTGCCCATGATTCCTGTCCTGCCTGACAGGGTCAGGGGACCCACAGATAAAACAGGCCAGGAGACCTCAGCAGACGTACGTCTGAATTGCCATCCTGAAGAACAAACTGCTTTAGGCCCCTCTGGGACCCAGGTGAAAAGCGTGGATGGGTCCTTCTTCCCACACCTAGGAGCTGCACCCTCCTCCCCGCTGCCCACCATCACCATCCCCCCTGGCTCCTGTGGCCAGGCTCCCTCCCCGTCCTCCCATCCGTCATCTCGTCCTCCACAGCAGTGGTATCAGCCCATGTCACACTGTCTTCCGTTGCCTCCCCCTTACGCTGCTGTGTCTGAGGTGACTATGTCCAGGAGGATCCCTCCTTGCATGACTTCATCAGCCATTGCCCTCTTGAGTAAGTACTGATTGTGAATGAGTTGCGACCTGTGTAAAGCCTTAGGTTTCAGCTGTTTAAAAAGCCCCATTTGCACTGCCCATGACTGCTAGAGAAAGGGCTGAGAGACGCAAGGCTGCTCCTGCTGCATGTGATTTCTGCAACCGAGGTGGAAAAGTGTCGCGAAAGCACTCAGGACAGGTCCAGGAACCTTCTGAGCCAAAAGCAAGGCAAAAAGCATGAATTACAGGACCAAGGCCCTGTAGCTGGGTGGCTGCAATGCAAATTGTTACTGTATTAGCCCAGAAGAAGATTTTTCTCATTCAGCAGAGTCAAATTGCATTTGACATCAAGCTTCATGCAAAACCTGTGTTCAGCTGGTCCAAACGTATCAGACGGGCTCTTCTGGAGCTGGAGGCCAAGTCTGTGGTAGACTTGTTGTCTGTGTAGCAATATTGGTAGAGGCTGTGATTTTTATTCTTTCTCGTAAGTGCTATTTCTGTTACCAGTAAAAGATGTAACATAGATTTTGTTATAATTTCCCAGACTCCCCTGTGCTTGTGTAATTTATTTCATTCTAGAAACTCTCTTCCTGGTATAAACTACATTTATAGCTGGGGGCTTGTGACTAACTATTTCAGCAAACCTTTTTCATTGCAGGCAGATCAAGAGCTTGGGTCTGCCACTTTGCATATGGTCTTGATTTCTAGCACTCATTTAAAGCCTGTGGAGTTAGAACAGTTACGAGTAATACCTATTTGCAATTCAGATCATAGGTTTTGTGACTTGTATCCATTCCTGTTTATAACCACACATGATGCTTAAATGATGTGCCTAGAAAAGGAAGAAAACTGAGATATTTCCTTTCAATTTCTGCTAAAAATATTACTGCAACCACTGTAGGCTCAGTCCTTCAGCTGATGTAAGTCCTTGAAATCCTCTTAGTTCAATAAAGTTATTTTAAACTCATATCAGTCCATTATTTTGACTCAGTTCAATTTTTGCCTCAGGCTGCCCTCTAATTAGGTGGGTGTAGTTTTGCAATTACAATTAACTGTACCCACAATGAATTACTAGCTATTATGTTCATGAACCAAAGAGGGCTTAAAATGTTTAAAGTATTTCTAATAGTGGCTATAGTTCATTTCAAGAATGGAATTGGGAGTGTGAAATAATGGCAGAAGTAACCACAGAAGTGAGGCAGTATTGTAAGAAAACCTAGATAAGAAGAAAAGCAGGCTGCTAATGTTAAATACAGCTTCCAAATGTTCCTCAGTCAAAACCCGCCTGTCTTTCAAAATAACACTTACTGAACAGCTGAACCTATGTTTATGTATCAAAAGCAGCCTGAGGGAACATAACATGGGGAAATACCCTCGGGGAGGTGGATTCGTTCAGCTGGGCCAGACGGGCAAAACACTGCAGCGGAGTTATCCACCATCAGTCCCTCCAGCAGGCTGCTGCTCTGAGCAGCTTTGCTGAACCTCAGCGTGCCTGGAGCTGGGCTGTCCCCCTGTTATTTTGCAAGACCAGCCGAGATCACATGCCCTCCGTTCAGCAGAAAGGAGGATGTGTCACTGTAGCCCATGAGGTGAAAAGCTGGTGTTAACAGAAACCCACCCATTTGGCTGGTGAAATTCTCATGTCCATGTAGAAAGCTATGATAGGAGCAGAAGAAGGTGCCACTTATGAATTGGGAAGTGTTGTCTGTGTTTTGATTTCAGCACAGAATAAAACACTAGCCCATCCAGGGAGAAGAGGAGGGTGAAGGCTAGTTTATCGGTGACAGGGTCTCGCAGGAGGACAGAGCTGTAGCTGATGGACCATTGATCACCCACTGTTTCCTGTTCTTCTTGGTGCTTCCAGCATTGCTCACTCATCATGAAGTTGGGTCATGGCCTTGGGAGCGGGAATTTGGCCTTGGTGTACGGGCTGGAGGAGGTCATGCTTCATGTCCGATTCATATTCTCTGCATTTCAGGCCCGTCTCTTCCAGCTGGTCATCCCAGTGGCACTGCTGTGATCCCTGCTTCGTCCGGGGGGCCCCCACCTCCGCCACCCCCCCCGGTCCCTCCACCACCCATGGGAGCTGCACCGCCCCCACCGCCCCCACTGCCAGCAGGCACCGGGCAAGGGGCCGGCACTGAAGATGGGTCGGTGTCAGGGCTCGCAGCGGCTCTGGCTGGTGCCAAACTAAGGAGAGTTCAACGGGTAAGGAGGTGGCACTGGGACTCCCCGATAGGCTTTGCTCTGCTGCAGGGAAGCCTGGCACAGCGTGGCGTAATGGTCTGCAAATCCAGCGTGAAACATGGTGAAACACGCTCCAGCTGACCATTAGGTCAGCTCTGAAATGTGAGTTTTTAGTGCAAACAAATCTGAGCAGGAAATGTTTGGCAGAATTTCTGCTCTTCAGGAGATGTTAATTCGCAGCTGGCTGCAAGTTCTCACGTTGCCAGGATTTCATTACTTCTGCAGAGTCCACCATTGTACTATGTGTTGGTGTTTTCAGTCGTTACAAGGGGTTAAAACTACATCATGCTCACAAAAACCAGTGTAGACTGCTGAGGGCTCACATTAGTAGGTGTCCACTTATGTAAGGGTTGCATAGCCATGCATAAACATAATCATGAGCAAACACCTCTGTGGATTTTTCCATCATTTGCCTATATATCTGCTTCACTCAGACTACTCCTGATTTTAGTAAGGTCCATGTGGGTCTCCTTCCCAAGGCAGAACCCATCTGTCTCTGGGTTTGGGCTGTGATTCTGATCACTGTTCCTAATACACAGGAAAACTAAACACTAAGGGTGTGGTTGTAAATGCAACTTTTCATTAATTCTGATGTTGATTTCTGTCTTAAGCCAGAAGATGGTTCAGGAGGGTCCAGCCCCAGTGGGGTCTCTAAGAGCGATGCCAATCGAACAAGTAGTGGAGGAGGCGGAGGAGGACTAATGGAAGAAATGAATAAATTACTGGCAAAAAGGTTTGTACTTAGACTTCAAGTAAGCACTAGCATGAGCTCTGCAGCAAATTGTGGAACAATTTTGGTTAGCAATGCGTCACTTTGGTGCTTCTTTGCAATTTGACAGGCCCTGCATAGATGTTTGTCACCAACATTGCCTGGCCTTTCAGATGAAAGTGTAGGTGTTGCAGCAATGATGCCTGGCAGAGCTTAGCTGCTGTAGCAGATCCTGCAGTGTGGTCGCTTTCAAAGATGGTGATAAATATATCCCATTTTACCAGATCTATGTCAAAGTTACTGTTTTTGGAAAGAGTAAACTATGAAAGGAACTTAGACAAATCATTGTTTATGCAACACAGTCCATATGTTGGGCCCAAAAATATAAACAGAAGTGCAATAAAAGGACAACATCTTGGCAGGTAAATTATTATCAATTGTCAGTGTGTTTCAGACAGGCTAGCCAAGTTATTCTCCACCGAAGTGAGTTGTGGTGTATCAAGCTACTAGCTGCTAAAAGGCACTCAATTACTCCAATTATTTTTTCTTTCTCTTTTCCCCCTGATTTTATCAGTAATGTTCTGTCAGACTCCAAGTTCCTAGTGTTAGATGTTTTGTTTCTAGTGCTAAATTTTTTTTTAACTTACGAGTAGTGAAAGGATAAGTAAAATAATGAAGAGTAGGTACAGTTTTATAGTGGGCAGAGATGGAGTTTTTAAATAATGTTGTCTAGTATAAAACCAGTTCCCAGTTCAGAGGATCTGATTCCAGCTTTCCTCCATGTCCTGGTCATTTCAGAAGGAATTCTGAACATTGACTGTGGATGTAATCCTTTGGAAAGCATTAAATAAATACACAGCAGTATAAAAATTTACCAGCAGTGTAAAACACCAAACAGATAAATTTCTCTCTTTTCAGAATAAAAATAGCTTAAAATAGTTCTTTACTATT